CAAGTGAAGGTGACCCCACAGGCATAGAGACGTAAATACTCTGCAGAAAAACGAGGCTCCTCTCCCATGGAAAGTTTTTTTAGTGTTTAATGGAGAGCAAGGGGAAAAGTTATACCAGGGCTCACAGACCACTGGACCAATAAGGAAACAACTCAGATCGACCCAGTCCAAGTCTAGAGGGACAGAAAACCCCACCAAATGTCACTGACTTAGACCTGTTCATTCATAACTATGGGTGGCCTTGGCATCATTATCCCTATGTCTTTTCTCCATCAGCTTCCATTTTCTCCCTTTTCTGATGAACCTTTGCATCTAATTCCATGTGAGGAAATAAGAATTTAACATTCAACATCATCAACAGCAATAATGCATCATTCTGACTATATGCCAAGCTCTGGGCCAAGCCTACAATGCTGTATCTCATTTGATTCTCACAGCAAGTCTATGAGCTCGGTAGTGATAGACGTCCCACTCTCCAGATGAGGAAACGGAGACTTAGAAAGGTGAAGTAACTTTCCCGAGTTCACCACCAGTAAGTGTCAGAGGCAAGATCCGAACCCAGGCCTGTCTGATGCCAGGGCCAAGGCTCTTTGCCAAAATGATATGAAACCAGCCAACAGCTGCCTGAACTGTGTCTTCCCCTGAAAGGGCCATCCAAGTCCAGACCTGGTTCATGTTATGAGACCAAGATCACTCTAACTGCTCCCCAAAGTGAGCCTACGTCAGCTCTACAGAGGCTGAAATAACTCTCTGAGCCCTTGGAAGTATCTGTAGACGTTTGTAAGTAGTAAACGACCAGCGGAAGCAAGTTGATTTAGCGTAGAAAACACTGTTTTCACATCCCAGATCTGTCTCTGAGTAACGATGTAACCTCAGGACATTTGCTCCACCTCTCTGAGCCTCAGGAAAGCATGGGTAATAATAATTGTCTATGAGCTAGTACTGGTGAATTTGCCAGCACAATGCTGTAAATTAGTTACCTTTCCCCCAAATTGTTCTATTGAGCACCTTATTCTATGGAAAGGCAATTGGTCGCAACACTGTCTAAACAGAGTATAAATAAATAGATAGATAAATAAATAAATAACTCCTGATCATTTCCTTAGTGAGCATCCAAAATCCAAAGTCTAAAAATGATATAAAACAATTTCCAAAAAATTGTGGCAACCTATGCTTATGTGCATGTACTAAGTGTATCTCTCTGAACATATAAGGACTACTTTTTATCTCCTCTCCCTCCCTCTCTCCTTCACCCTCCTAGCTCTCCCTCTCTACACCTCTTTCTCTCTCTCTCCCTCACACTCACACACACACACACACACACACACACACACGAATTGAATCCTGATGCACCGCTATCTCCCTCATTCTCAAACACGTGCCTGACACTTGTTCAGATAATAGATAACTAGTCTCTAGCCAGTTAATTTGAACAATAAAAAACATGAGGCTCTTATAGAGATAAGGTACCCGAGAGAATCAAAGATGCTGGTAGCTGCTTGTTTAGTGAAGGAAGATTTTTGTGATTAAAAAGTGGAAGACAGCAGACAAAGCCCCCTCTGTTTGCACCACTTGGTTGGCTCCAAGCTAGGTGGAGCCCTGCTTCTTGTAACACCAAATTTCACGTTGCTTTTTACGAGCAGAGGGTCCATTTCTAAATTGCACCCCTGGATTTAAAAGAGGAAATTTAAACCTCAGAATAATGTTTTTTGCTGAACAAAATGTATGCCAAACTAAGCCCTGACTGACTAACTCCTGGTTTTCTGAGTCCCAGCCTCCAAAGTTTTCTCAGGTTTCCAGTACTGGGCCGAACTCACTGGCTTGTGCCATTTCCTTCTATGCTACGGTTAGGTGGATAAGGGGTGAGAAGCAGGGGTACCACTTCCCCAGGTTCACTGGATGTATATGGGAATGCCCGAAAGATCCAGAGGACCACTGTAGATTCATTAGCTGAGAGAAGCTGGCTCCTATCAGCTGTACTTCATGGAAGGCACCAACGTGTTGTCCTAGGCATTACGGGAAAAATAATTCTAGCAAGAAGGGGGAAATCGTCATACAAAACAGCAATAAGTCTGGGCCTTCCTAACTCAGCCCCACAAAAGACCATTTTGTAAGACGGGGAAAAGCTGTGCTTTGCTTTCTAATTGAACAATGAAACACCTGCATCTTTAATCCAAACTGTCTACCCACTTCCCTAGATTTCAGGACAATGGCCTAACTTCTCACCTTCCCTCTTGAATAGTTGAACCCACACACTTTAGAATGATACCCATCAGCAGCTAACAAACAGGTTATTCTTGGACCACGACTGATGCTGGCAAAATGCTCGGGTCCAGGCAGACAAGGATAAGTGAGAATAAAATTATTCAGTTCTGCTTGCCGTGGCCACTGCATCCGCAGTCATCCTCAAAATTCCCACAGAAATAAGCTCATTCCACCTTTGAAACATTTCGGAGCTTAAAAGTTTAAATCAGGCCAAGTTGATTTTGTGGGGTTTTTCAAGCTTTTACACTGTAATTATATGCAGGACTTTGTGCCACCTATTTCCTCCCAACTGTAACATTTTATGTCTTTTTTAAGCATACGTTGAGGTTAGCTTTTTTTTTTTTTTTTTCAGTACATGTTATGAAACAAGATATGAGCTTATACTCAACTTTAGGTAACTTCCTGCCAAAAGGCTGGACCAACACAAACTAAATATGACTATTTTCTTTATCCAAAGTACAGTTTTGACTATTACATACCCTCTTAACGTACATACATAAAACTAGCTCACAACTAAAGCTCCCTGCAGGTCAGCTGAAATCATAACGAGATTTTCCTTTCATATAATGTGATTAACAAATGTTAGCTAACCGAACTCCTAAAAGACTCAAAAGAAAAAAGCAAAATAACTCAAGCAATGCCAAAAAGTCAAATAACTCAACAAACTTTCTATTTTTTTCTTTGCTTTTTCACATCTTTAACTTAGAAAACAGCCTGTTTCACTTGATTATATGCATGTGCTCTAGAGGCAGGTGAGAGTGAGTTCCAGCTCCACTATTTACAAAAATGTGACCTTCACAAGCTACTAAACGCCTCTAGCCTCAGTTTCCTCATCTGTAAAACAGGCGGGTAAAAATCCTCAAAGGATTTTTGTGAAGATTAAATGAAATAATGCAGGCTTCAATAAGTGTGGGCAAATAGTGTTTCATAAATGTTAGTTGCTATTGCTGACATTATCTATCTGCTAAATAAGTCTACCTTCCAACCTAAAAAAAAAAAAAAAATGTCAACCACCTCATGGCAGTCTAGGTGCTTTGAAATTCATATACTGCAATGGGTCCCTCAGAAACTTACAAGAGCAGACACAAATAAAGAAGCGGCCGTCCATCTATTCTTACTCAACTTTATCAAGTATTACAAATGTTTGGGAAGCAGTAATAACTATGACAGCTTGGGCCCCATAATCCTAAACCCCTGCAAAGGTCACGGCGACATATCACTGAGGCTTTCGGCTAGTGAGAGCTCTGAGGCATCCTCTGAATAGCAAGTGAGTTGGAGTGCCATAGTCCACACTTTATATGTTTAGAAAGGATTTCTGACAGCTCTTACGAAGGCAGATACCTCCAAATGTTACTCGAAGATATAAATGAACCTACCACCCGTCTGAACTTAATCAATGCATTTCTGGAATAAATATCACTCCAGAACTCCAACTGACGCATCTTTTCAGATTCACTCTTTACCTTCAAAACAGCAAGATTCTAATATCTGTTTTATTAGCAGTAAGGCTGTACTTTCGGGGAAAGGCACTACTTCCCCCAGGGCAGGAGTATGGAAAAGGGGAAATGCTGTATGGAGAATTTTTATATTATTTGGGAACAGTCTGCAAAACCCAAACTGTATATTTAAACTTTACAAATGTAACAATATTGTAACGCTTATCTCTGCAAACGGAATGCATTTTTACCTCTATTTCTGTTGATTTCCTTAGTCTTCAGAACCTGATAATCATTTGATACAGACATTCACCTTCACCCATTTATCATTTCACAACATTGACCTCATCTCTTATCATGAAAAAGTTTGGGTAGTTTAAACCCAGATGGCTTGGCTTTCACCTAAACAGAGAAGAATCTCTTCTCTGGTTCCATACAGCATGTTGATCTGATAACAAGCAGTCATCTATCAGTTGGGGGCTTGGCATTTGACTGCCTTAATGTATTTCCAACAGGGTTTTGTGATGTGTAGTTTTTAATCAAGGTTTGCCAAAACTAATTGGCATGTAAAACACTTTTAAGCAAAAATGTTGTTCTTTGTAAGTCTCTATTTCAGCTCAGAAATTCTTATTCGTATAACTTAATCTCCCCCGTGTGGTTACTTATTAGACCTTATCATTAACTATTAAGTTAAAATAAATTGAAACAAATTTTTTTTTAATCTACTAGCCACTGCCAGTGTTAACTAAGCAGCTGAAAGCCAAGTGTCATCCTCTAAGGATAGAGTTCTTTCTGACTGTTTTTGAGAGCTTAGTATATAAGAGGCAAAGAAATCCAAGATTACGTCTTGTCCTCATGTTTGTGCTTTGTGACTCTCATCTCTTTTTCCCCTTGTCATATACCTTATCCCAGACCTTTATACCTAAATGTTATCATTTTCACACTGAGCTCAGACAACAGAATCAAGGCAGAAAGTTTGGTGGCACCTATGATTTGGTGGCAATAGCCATTCCTGGGAACAGAAGGGCAAACGGTAATTATCACTGAGACGATGCCATACCAAGTCCACCTTAAGTTTACTTCTGTAAACTGATGTCAAAGATAAGAAATTCCCAGACTGATGAAATGGAAACTGCAAAAGTCCATAATACTCAGAAATTCAACTGAATTCAATTCATCAGCTATCTGAAGTTTTGTAACGACCAAAATCAGTTTTTAAGATTTGGTCATATTACATTTAATGGATTCAGCTTATCAGAGGGAGCAACTGACTTCACATTACCTGATCTCCATACTCACCATGCAGACACACATTATACAAGGGTTGTCCGTGATAAATGGAATCTGGAGAACTTCACCTTCATTTTCACATTTTGCAACAGAACCTGAAGGGGAAAATAAGTTATTTAAATTTAGCTTAGTGCCATTGTTACAAAAATAGAATTTTTACATTAATGCTTTTTGAAACAACTATACCCAAATTTCAGAAATTCCTAATGAGTTTTAAATTCTCAAACTCAGCCAAAAGAAGTCCCCCCGAAGAAAATCTATTTTAAATAGTTTTATTAGAACAGGTTTGTTTTGTTTTTTTAAAGGCCATGCTATATAGATAGATTTTCTGCTTTCGACGGTTTAAGCACAATTCCAAGTATTTCACTGGATCCTTAATAATACCCCTCCTTCATGAAGGCATTTCAAGTAAACACACACTCCCACATGCAAAAAAAATTCAAATTGGCCATTAAGGCAGATTTTAAATTTGAACAGAATTCAGGACAGTGTCAATGAACAGGGCTTTATATGAATCCGCCTCATATTGTCTTGAGCTGAAATCACTTTTTGAAACACAATCTTCTTTCCTCTTTTAGAAGTTGCCTCAATAGTTTCTTTTCTGCCCCAGGTGTCACTAAAGTATGTCCTTCAGAATAGCAGCTGAGGTCTTCACCTGCCTGAAAGCATATAATTATTATATCCTGCTATTATTACCCTTTTAAAATATGATAGTTTCTTTAAATTCAAGGTGCTTTAAAAAGCACTCCCTGTACAGAAGCTATATTGGAACCCTATAGAGTGAGAAAGGCCGATGGGTGGAAAACGGTTAAATTTTTTTTCTTTAATTGTATACGGGAGAAAAGATCAAAATAAAGATTGAAGAAAACTAAAAATAAATAAAGGAACTTCTCAAATTCAAATAGAAGAATGTCCGTTATCACTATACTACTGATGTCAACAGCCTCCTTGCCCTCCACCCCTTAACCTACTCACTGCCTTCCCACCCCTTAACCCCGCGGGCTTCGCTTCTTGCCCACCGCCAGCGAGGGGCAGGCTCCTAGGTGCTCGCTCCCCGCCCTCCCGTCCCCGAGGCCAGCCAGCGCTTCCTCTCCCAGGTACCAAGCCAGCGTCCGGGAGGGTCGGTCCCTCCCGCCCCTCCCCTACCTGTCAAGAAGGAGGAAGCCAGAGACATGGGGACCCCCGAGCAATTGAGCAGCAGCAAGACGCAGCAGGTAATCCCGGGCGAGCGCCGGCAGGGACGCTCAGCCAGAGCCCTGACGCCGGAGAACCAGAGCATCGTCACCTGGAGGGAATCCCGGGCGACTGCAGGTCCCGCGCCGCCGCCTATGCTCCACTACCGCCGCTCGCAGTCAAAAAGGGCTCTCAGCCGGCGAGTCGGGAGACAGTCCGTTAAGGAGGGAGGCGGGCGCCCGGGAGCCTGGGGCGGGGGGGGGGGGGGGGGAGGGGGGGGGCGGGAGAGAGAGGCGAGGGGTGAGGGGCGCCCAGGGAGGAGGGGTCCTGCGGCCAGGCTCCTCCAATGCGGCTTTTTTTTTTTTTAAGGAGTTGCTCGCAGCGGTTTAGTCGTCGGCTCCTCCATACTAGAGAGGGGGCCGGGAGGAGGGGGTATCGGAGCAGCCGGAGATAGGCAGAGAGGAGTGGCTGCGCTTCCCGCTGCGCACCGCTGCACAGCCGCCGCCGCCGCCCGGGCTGCAGCGACTGCCCGGGGGCGCGCCGCTGCCGCGGTGTCCTCCACTCCTGCCCTCCCACCTCCTGACGGCCCCTCAGGCTTTCAGCCCGGCCCGCGCGCACGCTAGCTCCGGCGCCGGAGACTCGGGCGGCCCGGGCGCCTCTGGGAACCCGCTGGGGGCGCCCGGGCGCAGGGGGGATTGCAGAAGCCCCGCGCCGGGCGCTTGTCTTCACCGGGCGTCCAGCCCGCTCCCCAGCCCCTCGAGGGAGGCCACTTGCCCCGGGGCACGGATCGGAGCGGGGCAGGCGTGTCTCCACCGCCCGGAGCGCGCAGCGCCTCCTCCCTTTCCCGGGGGAACCCTCCCCTAGCCGGGAATGCCGCGCCACCCCCACTCACACCCGGGTGCTCCAGCCCTGGGAGGGAGCAGAATACGGGACGCAGGGCGCCTCACCACCCCTGCTTGTTCCCAGATGCCCCAGCTTTGGGATGGAGCGACACGGGGCGCCGGGGTGGGGGCGGGGGGCCGCGCGACTTTTCACTCCCTGCTTTGCTTCGGTCTGCTGGGGGCGAGACAGCGGACTCCCGCGCTGAGCGGACAGAGGGGCGAGGGGCCTTCCAGAAGAGTGTTCTGTGCTTATGTCTCTGCCAGTCATGACACTAGGGAAGACAGAAGCTGAAACTACACGCAAGGTCGATTAATAAACGCATAGAGGCGAACGCTTTTCGCCCTTAAAAAAAGATGAACAGTCGCTCCATGACTCCTCCCATCCAACCTCGAGCGGACTGGGGCGGGGAGGTGTTTGACTAATCATTCACTGACCCGAGAAAGAGGGAGGGACCCGCGCGGCGGCTAATCTGTAGCAGGAATAGCCACCCCGCGGCCTCGGCAGCCGCAGCCCTGGGTGTCCCGGAGTCCGACCCTACGTACGGCCCGCGGATCCCCCCGGCCGGATCGCGGCCTCCTGCTCAGGCCGTGGCACCCTTTGCTCAAAGTGGGGGATGCAGTGGAGGAGGGAAGAATTTTTGTAACCAAATGGGAATTAGGGGACGCTTGGCAAGTGTTGGGACCTGATGATCAGCTGTCCTCGGAGATCGCCTTGGGTCGCCGGCTTCCTCTTACCAAGAATGAAAACGGGGCCCCCTCACGCCCATCCTTCTGGCGGGTCGGCCTGGGTGGATCTAAACGGCAGTCGCGGACTAGCCAAGCACGTTTCTCAGCGGGACGCACCTAACGATTTCCCGACACAAAGTGGGTTGTCGGTAGTCGCAGAAACTATACCTTTGCAAATATATTAGTCAGTTTGCGGACACATTTAGTACAGTTTCCTCTTAAGCCCTCCGTTCTTTGGGGGGGGGGCGGGGGCTGTTTATTTGTTTTTATTTTATCGAGTAGTTGGAGCCTTCACTTAAAGCTGCAATGCCCACATTCCGGCACGCCAAGGAGCCAATAGGAGCGCATTGCTCTGACAAGGAAAAAGTAAGAGAGGGGAAAGCTGTCATTAGCTTAGCACGCTCCATTTCCCTCTCAAAACAGATTTTTAGCGTAAAACTTAAATTAAAAGAGAAGAAAGATGATGTGTGGTTGCCTTCCCCCCCCCCGCAAATAACCACCACAGCCAGGCAGCTCCTTGAAAATCAGAGTGTTTAATGTATTTACTAACGATAAAGAACATGCAAAAAAAGAAATCTCTAAACCTAGCCTTACCTCCCAATCCATTTTTTATCAAAACAATAAAATAAAAACGTTTATGACTACAGAGAAGTACAGTCAGTTGAAACCACTACCTAAAAAAGATTCTCTCTGCATGGGGCTTTTAGATAAAGATGATAATCGTGACTTAATTAAGGAAAACGGAATAATGGGTAGGCTGGGAGACCTTTCATTGCCCTAGACTTCAGCAGTAGACCTGGATAAACTCACATTAGAGAATTGCAGGATATTTGAAGAGTACACATTAGTTACTCAGATGTGCCTTGCCTGACATCAGCCATACGTCCTCAAGGGTTTGCATGATAAAAGTCTTTATGATGGAATCTGTGTGTGTGTGTGGCATTTCTCAAACTAGGGACCTGGTGCTTTGGGATGCACTGGAACTTGCCCTATAGGTATAAATCCAAAAACCACCTGGAAAACATTTTCGTCTGCCTGGAAGTTTACCAATGGGAAAGATGCACAGAAGCCTTTGGCAAACCTGTCCCTTCTTCCTGTTTGTTTTAATCAGCTGCCACCAGTGATTTCCCCTGCTGCTTTCTTGGCAAATGGGCCCTACTTCTGGAAGAGCATCTTTCTCCCCAAAGGGCTTATCAGCCTTCCACGGCTGCTGCCACCACCCCTTCAAGTGACAGTCTATCAGCTGCCAGTTGGCCTCTGTCTACACAAACCTGAGATACTCTGGGGTCAAAAAAGAAACAAAAGAAGCAGGCAAGCACTGAAAAGCATACAGCTCTGCCTTCACTTGTTTAAAGTAAAGGGCGGTACCATCCAAATCCCCAAATGCTCTTGACTGAAATCAGAAGGAGAACAAATATGTGTTTGGCTCTGTTTATGACATTTTTCAATGTAATGGAGGTAATGGGTCCCAAAGATCATTATTTAACTACAGCTATCTCATGCTCTTCAAAATAAAATATATAACCTAATCAGACCAAAAGAGAACGAGGCCTGTGGTAGGAGAATTCTCTTCATCCCTTGGCAAAACTATGATGCTGAATTTGCGCTGAAAAATCCAACTAAATATACCACTTAGTAATGTAGAGTCAAAGTTACTTCAAGAGAAATTACAGCAGCCCAGCTTCCTAAAAATAGAAATAAATAGACCCTTCAAAAAGGCAGCAGGGGAAAGGAATTGTGATACCAACCACTAGGGAGGGCCGAAGGTATTCCATAAATGTGTGAGGGTTTTGCTTTATGAAAGACACAAAGCATTTCAGACTTGATGAGGATAAGGGATGGTGCCACCTAGGAGCTTACAGTCTAGTAAGGGAGATAAAGCGTGTTTATAAATGAATGCAGTACAAGGTAGGAAATGAATGTAAGAGGAGGAGATAACATGCCCTGTCATGGAAGTTTAAAGAAAGAAGAGACTTAGCTTCATGGAGGAGGTGGCAAAGGAGCTGAGATTTGAAAAGCAGGGGAGGCTTTAGTAGAAAGGACAATCCAGGAGCAGCAGAGTAACAGCAGGGAGACACACTATTTACAAAGAGAATGGGGAGCAGTCATTTAATTGGCTCTATCTGTCAGCTGAGCAGAGCTGTGGGAAGGCTTGATAATGAGGAAAGTAGAGGCAGCACTTGAAGGATCCACCTCAGATAAGCAACAGGATATTTACCATGGAGTAAGTGCCTACCTCTTAGAAACAACCAGACTACATTTCTTTAGATTGGAAAGTATTTCTGCAGGTACATTCAGCAATCTGTGCATTTATTCATTATTAATCATGATACTGGAGAGCACCATTTCCACCTCCATCTGTTCAAAAGGGTTTGGGTGATGGAATGAGTAATACATCATGAATCAGTTTCTCAACGTTTTTAGCAATGGGTATATGATTCTTCTTGGGATGAAAGTAGAAATGGTGCTTCGACTTTTTTTTTTAAAACACTGGAGATCTTAGAGATCATACAAACCAACTCCCTGCCCTTTCCCTTTGAGAATGAGAATTCTGAAGACTGACAGGAAAATGACTTGCCTAGGGTCACACAGCTAGTTAATGGCATAGCCCATTTAAACAGAGTTCCTCTGACTCTCTGATCATAATACTTTCCACTACAACTGTTCTGCCTTATTGAGTCATAAGAATATAGGAAAGGACCACTGGATGTTTTTAGATATGATACAAATTAAAGTTATAGAGTTAGTGCAATTGGTACTGAAATATCTATTGAACTGAACTAGCACCAATGACACAAGTTGTAAGAGCAAGAAAAACAGACCACAACTTCGCTCACCAGTTGAACAGTGACTTTCCTCTTAGCTCACTAGACTAAAACATTAAAGAACTGCACTCTCTTCTGGGTTTTGCTACTGGTTTGCTCAGTTTCTGGTCCTTCAGACAGGAGAGGGTACCATTGAGGCTGATAAGAAGTCCTCTAGATTCTGCCAGAGGGCTCTAAATAATGTCATTCCAAAAAGTCAGAGGCTCTGAAATTACTTTTTTTGTGAAGGTGAAGAGACTGGAGACAATGACAAAAGCATCATTTTAGTGATATTGGTCTATTTTATTTAAATGATCTTTATTAAAATTGAATTATTTTCATTAAGTGATCTTTCTCTCAATCATTTTCTCTACTGTTTGTAGCCTTAAGGGTCTTTTCATATGACTGTACTCACTGAAGAGTTTATTCATTTTTAAAGCAGGGCATTTTGATAAAGATGATGGGATCAAGGCATTTTTAGACACAGTTGCACTGAAATAACAAAATCACTGTTTTTTTTAAATGTTGAATTACTATTGTAATAAATAAATTCCCCTTCACTCCTTCCCTGACCTTCACTCACCTTTGGCCTCACCCCAATCCCTGCCTCAAGGATGGTGGTTCGTCATGAGTAATGAAGTGAGTTTTGCCTGTTTTACAAAGTACTTGTTCATTTAAATGTCCATAAGCCAAAACAACCACATTGGAGTGTCACAGATTCTCCAGTTCTACAATTAAAACAAAAGCAACTATTTTTCAAAGATTTTTAAAATTTTCATCAACATCTAAAATGCTTAATAAAGAAATCATTTTGATATTGGAA